TTCTATTCTATTATTCTTCTTGTAATTTATTTAAAAGTATGTTAAGATGGATCCATTTTTGTACTGAATAAGATGAATCCTATTATTTATCGATTTTAATTCATTATTAGTTTGGTATTTTTCCCTTTCTTGTTTAATTTCACATGCTTGTTACATTATTTAATTGTTTGGTTATCAATTAGATAATTAGTTGTTTATTATTGTATTGGGAGACTCACAATAAGTTTAGAATGTGACAAAAATTAAAACATATGCAATAGATGTTAGGAATAATTACATTTATCACGTGTGCAAGAATATAAATAATCTAAAATTTAATGCCTTCTAGTCATTCAAATTCAGGTTAGAAATATATTCGTGTCATGGTTAGGATAGATTTAATTTGTCTTACAAGAGAAAATAATATATAACAACTTTTTTGATTATCAATAATACATGAAGATAACTAGATTACAAATCAAGAATTCAAATATTAACAATATGGGGATTCTACAATAATCCATATTTTGATATAAAACAACTTTTCCCGCTTTCTTAGATAATTTAGCATAAAATTAAAACAAAATTTTCATACAAAGCTAGTAAACTTGAATTGGAATGTATTTCCTTTAGAATGATACTCTTAGCTAACTAAATCTTTTACTTTTCAGCGATCTCGTATGCTTGCGAATTTCGTACAAACAAAATACATCTGGCAAGAGTTACCTCCATTGACGAGATGTAAAGCGACACTCGAAGGTAATGAAGAAGTAGAAAGCTCGCCTAAAAAGTTACGAATTGTTTTTCACATTCAATTTGGCTATAAGTTATCAATAAAAGACATGTATGCAAGTGAATAAAGTATGATTCTTAACCAAATCAGTTAGGAGATAAATGATGATGAGCTGCCATCTGTCATCATCTCGAAATGATCAATTTACCCCGAAATTTGGAGGAAAATCCGTATATACCTTCTCATTTGAAGAAAAATGTATCAATTCAAATATATCCATCTCAAATAGTTATTTTACTTCTAGCTCCTGTTTGAGCATCCAAATTAGCAAGTTTAAGAAGTGAAAAATTTAGTTAGGTGAGTAAGATTTGTTGATCTAATTTGTATTATCAGCACACGTCTCGTTTGATGATTCGGCGTTTCAAAATTTATGAATTATTTTATGAGTTTTTCTTAGTTCTCTCACCTTTAAAACTTGTTGAGGCGTAAGCTTCGCTACACATACCTAATATACCTTCGTACTCGGGAGTCTTATTTGATAATATTCGTTGATTTGAGTTTCATTCAAGGAGCCCTTTTTGGTCTTTTCAATAGGTGACAAAGCTTGTCTTGGATTTGATGTCGTTATCTAATATTAAGTAATAGGTCCATAAAGCGATGTCCCAACCCCAAGGTTTGGTCTTTACTCTTAAGGATATCTAAAATAGGAAAATTGCAGATGGGGACCTTAATCTTTGCAAAAATGCAAACAGGTCTTGAATATTTTTGTCCATTCCAAACCTTGGCTTTAAAATGTTTTTGCTTTCCTTTCCTTTTTCTTTTTGTTTTTTATTTGTATTTTTGTTTTTTAAAAATATTCTAACCACAACTACGATTATGCACAAATTAATGGACTTGTAAAATGTAATTGTCCAAAGTCGTTGTGCCACATATTTATGAAGAGGTTTGGGATGTAGGTGCAAATATTAAAGGTTTGGGACCCATTTGTACTTTTTGTAAAAGTTGGTGAACCTTTCTGCAATTTTCCTTTGGAAGTAAGTTGGGTAATTCTGGTTTCTTCACAAAATAGTCCGAGTTGGGGTGTCTAATCCCAGGAAATTAACACCACCACCGGAGATAGAAACTTGAATAAGAGGTGAATGGGAAGATTCGTCCCTCAATTTACACCAAAAAAATAATAATAATAATAAATAAATAAATAGAGGTAAAAAACGTACAATATTGGAAATCCAACACAGATGCTGCATCACCAGCCAATTATAAAATACTTTATGTGCGAGTCACATGAAAATCACGTGTTGACAACATAATTATTACTCTTTTCACATGTTCCTTTCCAATGGTGTAAAAGTAAAAAGTAAAAACGTGAAAGGTGATTCTATATCCACCACACAAGAAGCACATGAAAATTGTTGAAATGCAAATAATTTAGCATTCGCTCTTAACTCTTTTAAACAAGACGAATCTAGGGGTCGAATTCAGCAAGAAAAGTTTACTATCGACAGCTAACGTCTGTGATAACGAGATTGTTTATTAGTATTTAATTAAATAATATTCAAAAAATTATACGAATTAGAACTAGAAGAACTAGATATACCACTAGAACTAGGCGAACTTTCATTTTGGATGAAAAAATCCTTTCATAATCTACAAAATGCTCTAATTTATTTTTCAATTAAATAGACAATATATATTAACAAAATGTCAATGTTCAATTTATAATTAAAATTAATTAAACAAGCATCATTATATTAACAAAATTGAAATTATTTATATACTTACATCGATTTTATGTGTTTGTATAATTCTACTTTTTCGTAATCGATTTTTTGTTAACGGAAAGTGAAACCTTTTATTAATTAAATAAGTTTTGTTGAAAGATTCCTTATAACACTAAGGTCAATTTTTCTACAAATTCATCCACCATTAATTGACCAAACTCTCAAATCAATTTATTAGGAGGGAAAAAAAAAAGAAAAAAAAAAGAAAATGAAAATCAAGAAGAGAGACAAAGCAACGTTAAAATGTTTCTACTTGCATTAAATCAGTAAAATTGAACATATATTATTTTGTTATGTTAAGTGCTAAAAATCAACAAATACCGTGATAGCAAAGTGGTCAATATGTTTAAGGAATGTAGTAGGTTCGAATCACTTTCCTTATATTTGTTTTGGTAAAAATTGTTGAAATACGAAAATTATAAAAAATACTAATCTTGAAGAGTTTCAAACACAAAACTTCCAATTCAATAGTGGAAGGACAAAGCAGCTGAGCAACCAGAAATGTTTGTTGTTAATATGAATTATCAAATATATAATCTAAAGATTCTATCTATTATCAGCAAAAAAAAATTCTCTCCGATGAATTCAATCTAAATTCGCCACTGCTCTTAAGGAATGTCAAAACCTATAACTTTAATATATTTGAGATAGAGACATTGAAAAGAACTTCAAATAGTTAAAAGAAATTGAAGAAGATCAATGAAGAACTGATGAGGATCCAACCATCTCTTCCAAAAGCCCATGGGAGATTGAATCCCACAACTATTAGACCCTAACAATACCCTAACAAGACGACTTTCGCTTTACCTAGCCGGCCCTTCTTTAGCTGTTGGTATTCGACACTTTGCTTAGGTTGCCCCTTCTGGGATTCAAACTTGTGACGTGGGTCTACTCTAATATCAATTGATGAGGACCCAACCATCTCTCCCAAAAGTCCAGCTTTGAGGGTGATTGAATTTCACAACTATTATATCCTATCAATACCACATGGCCCTAAATCCGACGTTCATGGCGGCCCACTCCAAGACGATTTTCACTTTACTCGGCCGGCCCTTCTTTGGCTGCTAGTATTATAGCTCCGTGTCATTCATCCATTTTTCTTTACTTTTTTTTTCTTTTTTTTTTTTTTTTTTAAAATATCAGTTTAGAATCCATAAATACAGGATCCTATCAAGAATACAAATTTAAATTCATCTTACCAGCTTCTAATAATCAGAAATACAAACCTGTTTTCAAGCAAGCAAAAGTTTGTTCTGTACCCATCCAAATATGTAGGTGTCATGGCTAAGTGCAAGTTAGGCTTAATATGTTTATCTATTATAGAAATCATTTGTAAATTTCTTCCGGTGAAAGATGCAAAGAAGACTTTCAGCCTAGCAAAATATCTAAGAATGGTATTAGCGGACATACATAGAGATAGACTAAAGCATATCTAGCAAGCAATGGATGAGATTTTAGTTCTTGTTTTTTCTTACTATTGTTTCCCTTTAATTGATAAAACATCTTCGCGGAGAACATGTTTGTTAGTTATATCAGCCACAATTTCTCAAATCCCGAGAGCTTCTTACAAATCATTACTTTACTGAGATAGTTGAAAATCCTCCTATCAGTATCAGAACCATTTAGGAAACTTCATCTCATACAACTGAAGATAAAACACCTATTTACTAGAAAGTCTAGAACTACTTAAATCACCTATTAAATCTTCTTAAAATGTTCGGCCAAAGAAAAAGAAATCCGAAAGCTCTTCCCTGTGGATCTTACCAAACAAACAAAAGCTCTTCATTAGGTTCACAGCTGGTTGTTATGATTTATATATTCCAGTACTATCGACAGACGAGTGCACGGTGCAAATGAAGAACAAATGTACCCAAATATAATTCAGAATAAGAGATAAACCTCATATTTGTTCTTTCGTTCATTTTATATATTGATTCGGTGGTTGTTTATATTGATAACGAGAGTTTTTCATAAACTGCCAACTGATATCTGTGTCTCACTAGTATTAGGACGTCTTAGATTCTCCTTCCATCATCAAACCATGCTATGTTTCAGCAAACCTGAACATAAAATGACTTGACATTTCTCCCAAATCTTCATCTCAATTCTAAATTTGCATTACTGGAGTAGGCATCAATAACTTCCTTTACCTAGGCAAAATTTACCCCGCAAAATCATTACATTCTAGGGAGGTAAATTGAATAGTACAAGACCAGATAGGGCCAGGCCATCTCGTTTACACATGTACTAGTGACTTCATATCTATATGAATGTAAAGTTGGATCAGTCAGTGGTTTTTATTTTTCCCTTTTTGTGACAAAAACATTACATCTCACAAATTCACACCAATATCAATATTTGGAGCTCTATTTATTTATAGTTAAAAAGTTGAATTGACCAGCCAAGAGTCAATAGCATTCACTAGTCACCGATGATCACAGTAAACTCTCTCACCTCCATAATCTAACTTTGCCGTCCCAAACCTTGGAGAATGAAATCAGAAACTATTTGCAAAGAAAGACAGTGTCTTTCATAATTCATTCACAGATTTGTACTTACTGAAACTTGGATGTAGAAGTGTTTCCGATCATATGTAGATGAAATGAACCCCAATGATTTTTAAATAGAATAGTGATATGAAATCTACAATTGCAAACAATATGCAGATATAATAGATTAATACAGTTGAACTCACATTAATCACAGACGATTTTTAAAACCGCTTTTTGCTGGTCGACAATAGTACGCCGTAAATTCACATCTGGGTGAAACTGCCTTCAAAATAAGCCTTGCAGTATCTTCCTGCTTCACCTTAGCCTCTTCCAACTCCACCAAAACTGCGGCCAGAATACTCTCATAACCACCACCGCCTCCAGCCACATACGCCACCAATGCCGCCTGCACCGGCCCTAAGCTAGGATTGTATGCGGCAGACTCCAAATACGATCCTCTATACACCTTCCCTTCGGAATCGATCAACGCCACCCCAGAAGGGCAGCCACTGTATGGAGCATGAGAATTATTAGCAGCTTCCAATGCTGCTTTTCTCAAAAGGATCCCATCCTTTTCGTTTTTTTCCCTATTACCATTGCTCAATTTTACAGAATTCTCATTGCCCGCGGACAATTCACAATAACCATTGCAAAGATTGCTCGAATTTCCGTCCACGTATACAGCATTTTTTGGTAACAGAGAGAACCCATTATCGTGTGGCTCGAGAAGAAGCGGAATTTCTTTACCTAAAAGATCATGCGGGCCAAATGGGTTAGGTAAAATTTCAGACAAGGGTTTGAAGGAAGGATCCTTGTCAAGATTCCCTCCAACAGGGGATGTGACAAGGATTCCAAGGGACGAGCCATCACGGAGCTCCTGCAAGAACTGGCGGCAGTGACCGCAGGGGGCATCAGAAACAGCTAGATACAGTAGCCGAGGACACTCATGGACAGCAAGATTGGTAAGGAGAAACTGTTCTGCGTGTACAGAGTGGTGGAGTGGGACTCCCGGGAACTCCAGATTGACGCCGATGAATACACGGCCGTCGGAACCCAAACCCACCGCGCCGACAGAAAAATTCGAGATGGGCGGGCGGGCCAGCGACTGCGCCGATTGAACTAGGCGGGGAAAGAGGTGGAGCACCGACGGGAGGTTCTGGGATTGACGGATCGACTGGGCCTCTTCGGCCTCCAATACAAATTTTTTGGGTAGAATTTGATCCATTTGGGAGGTTGTTACCGTGTGAGGCATTGCGTGTTTGATTTTCCTAAGCAAAAGTGGGAAGAATGGAGTAATCAAAAATGGATTCCGTGCAAAGACGAGGTGGGAGAAATGTTGGTATATGTAGAGAAATGTATGTATAGAAGGGGCTCGTGTGATTTGGTATCGAATTGCTGATAAATTTACCACTTAAATCATTTTCAAAAGACCCTCTAAACACAAAATATTTTTTAGGTTAAATGGTCAATGCTTAAAAATAAATTTCAAGAGACTTTCTATTTTAACTTTTTAAAATAAAAAGTGAATTCGACTATCCAAATTTATGTCTTGTTTGAGCCCCATTAATTTCTTGTAATGTATTATAGAAATTGTATTATTAAAAAAGAAGGATTTTTTATTTGCGTGTAATATTATTTTAATAAAGAATATGTAAATGAAAATGAGTACTGTAAAAAAAATAATGAGAAATAATGGAAAAAAAAATGAAGCTCAGATAGGGGCTTAATGAGTCAAATTCATTTTCTATTCTTAATTAATAATATTACACAAATTACTTTAAATTATTCAAATAACATTTAAATTGATTGGTCATTAACCTACAAAAAAATTATATTAAATAAAAGATGATGAGAAATCAATAAATGTTCATTGAGAAAATAAATAAATAAAGAGTCAAAATAGAAATTTTGTTGGAATACATAAAAAATTTATTCTCTAAGTTTAAAAATGATCTCTACTATGCATAAATACTCTCTTTATAAACAGAGAGTATTTTGAAAATATTCTTAAATAAATAAAATTTAGGGATAATTGCAGCAGCGGTATCAAACATTTCATTTATTAACAGAGTTTGTCTAAACCTTTCATTTGTATCAATGCTACCAAACTTTTAAAAATTTTGCACTTGAGGTCCAAATGGATTGTTTCTATTACTTTGACCGTTAGTTGACCCAATAAATTGACTTTGACCAATTTTAAAGGGGTAATATTGTAACTTTGAATTAAAAACTTAACTTAAAAACAAAAAAAGAAAAACGACAAACAAAAAATAAAAAATCAATCACCGTTCATCTTCTCTTTCCCACCCCACCCCACCACGAAACCTACCGATCACTTACAGTCACCACCAATCGTCAGCAATCACCACTCGTCGCCATCCATAGAAAATAAGCTTATACAAGATAATTGCAACAGTGGGTGGCGATTTGTGAACCACCACTGCCTCTCACCGATAGTATCTCATACTTGGCACCACCACTCTCTTTGAACCACATCGTCATCTTCTTTATCCCAAGTCCTTACCTCCTTTAATACATCAACCACAACAAAAATCAGGCCCCCACACACAAAGTTCCCCACTCTCGGTCGTCGCTACCACCCGGAGGCTGACACCTAAAGAGGTGGCGGATTTCAGCCTGGTCGTGTCTCCATCAAGGATTTGGACTGCAGTGGCATCGTATGGGGAGAAAGGGTGGGGATGGGAACAGTAATTGGTTCTTGATTTTTTGTTTTGTTCTTAAGTTTTTAATTCAAAGTTACAATGTTACCCCTTCAAAATTGGTCAAAGTCAATTTATTGGGTCAACTAACGGTAAAACTAATAGAAACCATCCATTTGGATCTTAAGTGCAAATTTTTTAAAAGTTTGGTATTCACGGTGGCACAAAAGAAAGATTTGGACAAACTCTGCTAATAAATGAAAGGTTTGGTATCGTTACTGCAATTTTTCCTAAAATTTATTAAAAGCATTACTTTTTTTTTTTAATTAACCATTTTGTCCTTGTTCGTTGTTAGTAAGTGGTGGCACAACTGCTTTACAAATAGAAAATTGGGTGATTAAGTACCTCCGATGCTATTTTTCCTATTGGTTAAGATTTGGCATGTTTGGCATAGATTTTTCAATAGATTTTGTAACAAATGTTTATTTAAGAATATATGTTGTTAAAAGTAAAGAAAAGTTTTGGATCACGTATAAAATTATTTGATTGAAAAAAGATTTGTTGAAGATAAATTTGGGGGAAATGAGTTTATGGAAATGAGATCAAATAGAGTATTAGTATTCTATTACATTTCTTATTATCTTTTATCAAAATAAAAACTTATTCAATGCGTTGAAGTAAATAAAATTTTTAAAAAAAAATGAGTTTTTCCAATTCAATCTACTCTTAAAGCATAGACAACATTATTAATCATCCTTCAAAATAACTCATTATGCCCTTGTTTGGTAGAAATTAAAATTAAAAGTTTAATCAAAATCAACAATCAACTGTAACCGTATATTTCATCAAACTTTTATTAAAATCCAATAAAAATATGATTTTATTCCACCAAATAAGAGCTATTTCTTTAAACTTTTAAATTAATTATTTTACAATATTGTATATGATAATGTCTACTTTTCACTAATGAAAACCAGAGACAGATATAGGGGGGGGCTGGGCTGTAGCCCCCCCTCAGGTCCAAGAGTTTTTTTTAAGGTATTTTTTTGGGGTAAAAAATCAGTTTTTTATGTGTAAAAAAAAATTTTCAACGTAGTAGTCCGATTTGAAATTTTGTAACTCGATCGTGGATTCAATCCTGAATCCGTCCGTGATGAAAACAGATCGGGGACAAGGAAATCTAGCCGGAGGAAACCTAAAAGATACATACACACACGTGAAGGACGTGTCATTGACAAGTGAATAAATTCGGTACAAACAACAATCAGTAGTACCCAAAATATGGGAACATTTATAATAAAAAAAAAAATGATGATGAGAAACTATTCCTATGACAAGAAAATTTTCACCCAATCAGTATCAAATTAATTAATATGTAATGGTGTTTCGTAAATCATTTCTCCCTTTGCATAGTTATATAGGTGAAAGGGGAAAAAAAAAAAAAAAAAAAAAGATCGATAAATATTATTTCGCACATAAATGTCGTTCAAATCTAAATTTAAAGAACAATCTTCAAACTTGTTCCCTTTTTAATGTGACTCATTCTATCGAGAGCTTTCAACACCTCTGATTCATTTGTGTACCACAAGACTCAACCAAGAGTCCGCTTGTTGTGGCCGAGACCCTTCATCAAGGATGTATCGTCAATCACATTACATACATGGAGACGCTCACATACATACATATACTAGACATATCAAGTCAACTTGTCACTTGCAAATGCTACCAAAACATTGGCATTATAAATATATTAATCAATATAATAATACATAATAAAATCCATTTTAATTAATATAATAATAATGTAATATCATTGCCTTTCGTGTCCCCTTTAAAGAGAAATCTAATATTTTATTCTGCCAAAAGATTCTAACTAATGAATGATAGTTATGCTTCATTCTTTAGACTGCCTATTCTTCACGGAAGCTTCCATGAATTTGCACTCATTGATTCGAATATCCAACTTTTCTAATGGCAAATATTCACCTTTCGTAAATAGATCATTATATTTTTTCATGGCATCTGATTCTCAATCTTCAATATTAGTAGCAAAAGGGATCAACGACTTATTTTTAGAAAGAGGTGTTAATTCAGGTATAAAGTGTTCGACGGAGTGCAAGGGGTTGTAGTGTCGACGGGTTTGGGAATAAAACTAGGGAAAATTTCATAACTAAGAAATTAATTATGGCACATTTCAAAAACAAGAAAACAAGTTTCAAATTTCTAAAATCAGATTTTTATTAAAAATTATTTATAATTTAATTAGTTAATTAATTATTTTATTAATTAAATATATTTAGGTCACAGATCTATACAATTTGGTCACAAATTAACAATATAATTAGTTACTTATTATTTTTCGGTCACAAATCAAAAATTTTATGTCACAAATTTTTTTACGATCACAATTCAAAAATTTTTTAAGTCGTAGTTTATTTATTGGTCACAAATCCAAAAATAATTAGTCACGGGTTAATTTTGAGTCACGACTTATCATATTATTGGTCACAACTTATTTTTCGGTCACAAACACAAATTTTATAGGTCACATATTATTTTTCGATCACGAATCAAAAATTTTATAGGTCACAGATTAATTTTTCGGTCACAATTCAATAAATTATAAGTCACAAACACAAATTTTATAGGTTACATATTATTTTTCGATCACGAATCAAAAATTTTATAAGTCACAGATACTATTATTGGTCACAAATTATTGCTAAGTCACAAATTCAAAATTCTATAGGTCACAAATTATTGGTCGGTCACAGATCAAAAATTTCATAGGTCGCAATTCATTTATTGGTCACAAATTAAAATTTTCATAAGTCAAAATTCATAGATTGGTCACGAAATCAAATTTTTTATTGGTCACATTTAATTTGTTATTCACAAATCAAAAATTTCATCCCACCCACGACCACCGCCTCGACCATCACTATCACCATTATTGCCAGCACCACAATAGAGCACCTCCGCCAACAGAGCCACCACCACCTCATGACAACCTATCAACACCACAGTACACCAACATACTCACCAACCACCACAACAGACCACCTTCGCCACATCAACCACCAACACATCACAACAAAACTGATCAAGCCCAACAGATCAACATATTAACCACCACAACAGAGCAACGTCGCCACCAGAGCAGCCACCATTTAACAGAGCCACCAACAACACAACAAAGCCGCTATCGCCACCACTAGATCTAAGTCATTGCCACCACCAAATCTAAGCTGCCGCAAAATACTATCATAGCCACCACCACCACCGGCTTTGACGAATCCAACAGCTCAGATTTGCCACCACCACGCAACCACCACACCACTAGATCTAAGCCGTTGCCACCACCAAATCTAAGCTGCCGCAAAATACTATCATAGCCGCCGCCACCACCGGCTTTGACGAATCCGACAGCTCAGATTCGCCACCACCACGCAACCACCACACCACATCCACCACCAAACACCATCCATAAAAAAAAATCACAAAATCACTGCGGGATGAGCAAACCGCCGCCTGCAATTGCCGCAACAACGTCAAATACGGCAGCGATTTCGTCGCCCCAGTGTGGACGTTGCTTTTGTGACCTCTCATGGTGCTGCTGCGGCTTCCGATGGTGCGTTTCTCACGGTGCTTCTCACGGCGGCGGTAGACAGATAGAATAGATATTGGGAATAGAGGGAAATGAAATATGATTTAGGGTAGGGTT